GGGGGGGGGGGGGGGATAGGTCGTGTGTGCAGGGACGTGAGAGATATTGTATGCTTCCCTTCTTTTGACGCATGTATGGTGGTGCTCCCAGCGACGCGGAACGAGAGGCAACCAAGCACCAATTTGCATGCCACTTTGCGTGAACTCGCTAGAGGGGGGTGATGCGGCAAGGTCAGCAAGAGGTACGGCGTGCTAGCAACAAACACGGGAGAAATAATATTGTGCTCGCAGACGTCCACGCCTCCCCATGACACCGAGGAGAACGGCGACGAAACGTGTTTACCAAGGCCGGAAAGGTAATAAATGGTCGGAAGGAACAGGAGAGAGCAGCACCCAAAACCAAAAAGGTAATGCTGGGGATCATTCGTGTAAGCCTGTCCATACGAAACGAGGCCCCTCCTACGCCCTTGTCTTGCAGCAGAAGGCTCCGCGCGCGATGAATGAGGATAGTTCCAGCCTCAACGCACGCACGTCTGGACACACCGAGGTTCGATCGTCCTCAACCTTCGACCCCGTGGCGTCAGCCCCCGCGGCAAGCATCCGCTAGTAAGCCTTCCCCCCCTGCCGAGGCCCTCGCCAGACACTAAACGCCCGATACAGCTATTTCACCTGCCGTGCACATGCATGTACTTCCACGGAAAGCTCGTTCTACCAAACACCCGTCCTACCGTACCGTCGACCCTAGTGCCAATACCAAGGCCGATACAAAGAGTCTAGCCGACGCTAGGGTAAAAACAATATGCTCACCGTCATTGCTCCGCCGCCGCCACCGCCGTACGCCGCAACCCCGGGGGCTGCACCATCGGCCGCAGCAGCAGCCCCCGCCCCCGCCCGCCCCCCCATCATCCCGGCGGCGGCATTCCACGCCACCTTGGCACCGCTCTCGTTGTTCTCATCCGCGAGAACGGCCAACGCTCTGTCCCTCGCACCCACCCTCCCCCGAACTACGTCGGCGGGAACGAGCCCGCCAGTGACCGCCGCCGTGCCCGATGCCGCCGCCGCCTCTGCCGGAGGCCTTTGACCGCCCCTGCTGCCGCTGCTGCTGCTTCTGCTGTTGCTGCGGCCGCGGCCACGCCCACGTCGGCCGTCACACACGCCGCCTGCTGAAGCGGGGGCGCGCCGCTCGTGGGTACTTTTCGAAGCCCCACGAGCTGCTCTCGCTTCGGCGGCTTCACCGCTTTCCCCCGCTGCCGCTGCGGCCGTCCCCGCCGGCGCTGTCGCTGTCGCCGGCCTAACCCGCTGGTCACTGAAGCTGGAGCCTCTGCTGCTCCCCCCGGCACCGGTGCTGCCCCCGGCGCCGGCGCCAGATGGCGCTGGTTCGTAGTGGCAGCCTCGGGTGAGGTCTGCTGCTGCGTCCTGAGAAAGCGCTGCCCCACCCGCAGGCACGGCTTCTTGCGCTTGTTGCTGCTGTGCGGGTTCTTGTTGTCCTTGATGATGCTGCGCCCAATCTCTCCGGAGCTGCAGCAACAAGTGCGCCGTGTTGGTGCCCGGAGTGAAGACGCTCGTGGGAGTTACACCACCGCCGGCGGCGGCGGCGGCGGCGGAGGCGTTCTCGTGCCCCGTTGCCCCCGCCGCCGCCGCCGCCCTCGCGCCGTCGCCCCCGCCCCGACTCGCGCCTCTCCGCTTCTGGGCGGGCTCTGGGGTCAGGAGCGAGGACCCTCGAGGTGACGCCATGAGTGCTGCTGCTCGGGTGCTCGTGCTGCCGCCACCTCCTCTGCCGGGAGTTGCACAAGAGGTGGCGTGTGCGGCGGCGACGGCGGCCGCTGGTCGTTTCCTCCCCGATTGAGGGGTCCCCGACGATGGTGTCGCCATTGCTTCGGAGATTTGTCGCGCGCGCTGCTAACTTCCACAGGTGGATTATTTTTTTTTATCTGTTGTCCTTCGGTTCTGACCGAAAAAAACGCTTCAACAGCTAACCTTCTCGCTTCCTCCGACAAAAGGTCAGGTGGCACAAAGCAGCGCTGGTCACCTTCTCAGCGTGCGCGATGCTCTCCGAGCACTGCTGCTGTCGGCCCTGCCCGCGTTTGTCTCGCCCCTGCACAAAAAAGATTATAGTTATTTTGCTGTCGTGCGCGACGATCATGACGCCAACGGCGCGTGGAAAAACGCAAAAACCTATCCGGGACGCATTTTCGTTCGTCGTGCATTCACAAAACAGAGCAATCAGGACACGAGTTTGGCGGGCGCAGTTGCGGGTTGAACACTCGGCACGGCTATCGCATCTGCAACCGCATGTGGGTGGCTGCAATAGCGGGAGGGCCCCGCGCCTGGTGGTGGTGATGGTATTGCCGACACCAAAGTGACGGTTGGCAAATTTCTTGGCCGCGCACGTTCGAAAATAACCTTGTCTGTGTTTTGATTTTTCAAAAGTCTGAGACATCGCGCACCTTGCGATGTAGCACACACGGAGTTCGCAAGCATCTAAAAGACGCGCTCGATGCCACCGTGCAGCGAGGAACGGAGAAAACTGCACGGGGCACGCACCTTGGTAGCGGGATTCCCGACCCACGGACAACAGCCAACTACATGTATGCCAGGCACAACTCAAACCAACCAAAATTTTAAAACGCCTAATAAATCTACGCTCTGAAGATAACAAAGCTCGCTGGCCATGTGCGCGATATTCCCGGTTTCACTCATAGCCTACTGTGCTATATGCTTGGCTACTGGTTGCAGCTGTTGCATCCTTATGGCTCCTGCAGGAAGCAACTTGAGGGCGGCTAGCTGTAGCCCTCTCCTCTGTTTGGCCGTTGGCCGGCATTTAAATTCGCGAGCAAGCAAGCCGCTGCAAAGAGCGCTGTGCGAAGCAGACAGCAGATTCGTCCTTGCAATTGCACCGTCCACTTCTCACCTGAGATAAACGGGTATGGCGGAGCGTGCAAGCGACTCTCCTTCTTGAATCGCCGTCCCCTCCAGTCCTCAACACTTCCTCGACTGCTGGACACACACACGACCTGCTCTGCCCGACAGGAATTTCGCACCAATGGTATACTTGTATGACAATAATGTTACTACTGTTATATACCATTGTTTTCGGACCAAGTTTCGTGGGGTTCCGTTATTTCTGAGCGGGGGTACCTCGGAAGCACCAGTATCCAGAAACGGGTACAATACACCCCATCAGTGTTCTCCCTTCTTCCCCTCGCTCCTCGACAAGCTTTTGCTTAGACATGGGTTGTAGTGAAGGGGGGGGTCTTTCTGGCGAGCAGGGCTAGACTCACCCTCAAGGGATGACCGAAACCTTCTTGCTGCTGCGCATATCCGCCGCGAGGCATGCGCGTGGTGG